CTTTGTGTGTGATTCTTTATCTTTTAACTCCACGCCTCTTGCCAGACCCTCGCATTTACTTCTCTTACAACCCCATCTATAAATATATTAAACAACCACGGTGACATCACACATCCTTGTCTAAGGCCTACTTTTACTGGGAAAAAATTTCCCTCTTTCCTACATACTCTAACTTGAGCCTCACTATCCTCGTAAAAACTCTTCACTGCTTTCAGTAACCTACCTCCTACACCATACACTTGCAACATCTGCCACATTGCCCCCCTATCCACCCTGTCATACGCCTTTTCCAAATCCATAAATGCCACAAAGACCTCTTTAGCCTTATCTAAATACTGTTCACTTATATGTTTCACTGTAAACACCTGGTCCACACACCCCCTACCTTTCCTAAAGCCTCCTTGTTCATCTGCTATCCTATTCTCCGTCTTACTCTTAATTCTTTCAATTATAACTCTACCATACACTTTACCAGGTACACTCAACAGACTTATCCCCCCATAATTTTTGCACTCTCTTTTATCCCCTTTGCCTTTATACAAAGGAACTATGCATGCTCTCTGCCAGTCCCTAGGTACATTACCCTCTTCCATACATTTATTAAATAATTGCACCAACCACTCCAAAACTATATCCCCACTGCTTTTAACATTTCTATCTTTATCCCATCAATCCCTGCTTCCTTACCCCTTTCATTTTACCTACTGCCTCACGAACTTCCCCCACACTCACAACTGGCTCTTCCTCACTCCTACAAGATGTTATTCCTCCTTGCCCTATACATGAAATCACAGCTTCCCTATCTTCATCAACATTTAACAATTCCTCAAAATATTCCCTCCATCTTCCCAATACCTCTAACTCTCCATTTAATAACTCTCCTCTCCTATTTTTAACTGACAAATCCATTTGTTCTCTAGGTTTTCTTAACTTGTTAATCTCACTCCAAAACTTTTTCTTATTTTCAACAAAATTTGTTGATAACATCTCACCCACTCTCTCATTTGCTCTCTTTTTACATTGCTTCACCACTCTCTTAACCTCTCTCTTTTTCTCCATATACTCTTCCCTCCTTGCATCACTTCTACTTTGTAAAAACTTCTCATATGCTAACTTTTTCTCCCTTACTACTCTCTTTACATCATCATTCCACCAATCGCTCCTCTTCCCTCCTGCACCCACTTTCCTGTAACCACAAACTTCTGCTGAACACTCTAACACTACATTTTTAATCCTAACCCATACCTCTTCGACCCCATTGCCTATGCTCTCATTTGCCCATCTATCCTCCAATAGCTGTTTATATCTTACCCTAACTGCCTCCTCTTTTAGTTTATAAACCTTCACCTCTCTCTTCCCTGATGCTTCTATTCTCCTTGTATCCCATCTACCTTTTACTCTCAGTGTAGCTACAACTAGAAAGTGATCTGATATATCTGTGGCCCCTCTATAAACATGTACATCCTGAAGTCTACTCAGCAGTCTTTTATCTACCAATACATAATCCAACAAACTACTGTCATTTCGCCCTACATCATATCTTGTATACTTATTTATCCTCTTTTTCTTAAAATATGTATTACCTATAACTAAACCCCTTTCTATACAAAGTTCAATCAAAGGGCTCCCATTATCATTTACACCTGGCACCCCAAACTTACTTACCACACCCTCTCTAAAAGTTTCTCCTACTCTACATTCAGGTCCCCTACCACAATTACTCTCTCACTTGGTTCAAAAGGCTCCTATACATTCACTTAACATCTCCCAAAATCTCTCTCTCTCCTCTGCATTCCTCTCTTCTCCAGGTGCATACACGCTTATTATGACCCACTTCTCGCATCCAACCTTTACTTTAATCCACATAATTCTTGAATTTACACATTCATATTCTCTTTTCTCCTTCCATAACTGATCATTTAACATTACTGCTACCCCTTCCTTTGCTCTAACTCTCTCAGATACTCCAGATTTAATCCCATTTATTTCCCCCCACTGAAACTCTCCTACCCCCTTCAATTTAAAATTATGAGCAATTAATAGCAGTAAGAAAGAAGTATAGAGTATTGGAGGTAGTTGGCATTAGCTAGTGATGAAAAATAATAAAAATAATAATGCACAATATAATAGTAAGGTACACTATATGCACCACACGTATATATGTATTAAGGGCACTTATCTAATCTGTTACAGAAATGTCAGCTTTTCTAAGGAAGGTAGAGAAATCATGTTCGTTTGAGATGGTATATTGTTGTCCTGTTGATGTTTTCCTTACTAGTATTTTCCCATCTCGCATGAAACACTGATGTATTTTGTTTTCCTGTTTAAGTTTTCTCAGCCTGAACAGAAAGTTTTGACGTTTTTTTGTTAGACACTCATTTATGTACACTCCATTTTTCATTGTAATTGCTGATTTAATTAGGTCCTTTCTTTCATCATATGAATGAAGTCGGATCATTATACTTTGTTTACTTCCTGGTTTTCCTAGCAAACGTGTTTCTTTGATTTCATTGTTTTGCACGATGACTTGTACGTGGTTCTGTATTATCCTGATAGCAGTTTCTTTGCACTGTGCTTGTGTTATGTCACTAGGAATGTGTGGACTGTTTATTATAACTGCATCAGACAACTTATCTTGTTCAGCTTTGTCGTCTTGGAAATCAAGGTATTCATTTAGTCGAGTGTGCATGTTCTAATTCCAGTCCTTGATTGCTGCTTCAACCTTCATATTTATTGTTGTTATTTGCTCAGTGTGACTGGCTATAGCTGCTTTTAGAGTATTTTCTGTGTCAACACTTCCTGATGTAATTTTCTCTTCAAGGTTTTGGATCTTGTTCTCGAGGTTGGTTATCTTGGATTCTCGTCGCTCGAGTGTTGCTTTGATATCTTTGATTTCATTTTCTAGAGCAACGATTAGTCCTTGATATTGTCAGGAATAATCATACCTGAGTTATCATGGGTGAATCCTTTGAAGGGAGTGGAGTTGGAGGGGGAGTCAGCCATGTTTGTTGTTGTTGTTGTTCCCTGGGTGGCGGTGGTGAGGGGGGTTGATGATACACCGGCGTCCTGCTGGGTAGACAAGTTGAGTTCTAGGGTCCTTGCTGTTATTCTATTATTACTGGTGTTGTTTCTTCTGCGATATCCTTTCATAGTATCACTAAAGTAGATACTGTGTAGCAATGGAGGAGAAGGCTTGTTTTCTCGGAGCTTGGGTTAAGTGGTTGTCTGGCAGCGGAGGCAGTGTTTGGGTTAGCAGGGCTGTCTTCCTTAGATCTTCTAATTTTGTCAAGATTTGGGTTACATTCTTAGTATTCTTGGGTCATGTTGTGGTCTACGTGGGTTCATGTAGTTGAACTTTCACTTAGGCCATCACAAGTTTTTGATGAGCGATGTGTTTTTGAGAAAGAAGAGCTGGTAGGATACCGTTGCTGCCGCTGCCGCCGTTCAAGCAAGACAAGGTTAAGGATCCCTAGCTTTATTGACAGCTATTTACAGGTTAAATCTGTTAAATCCATTTAATTCCTTGGTTTTCTCAACCTATTAATCTCTCTCCAAAACTTTCTTATTCTCAACAAAATTTGTTGATAAAACCTCCCCCACTCTCATTTGCCCTCCTTTTACACTTCTCACCACTCAACCTCTCTTTTTACTCTCCATATGCCCCACCCTCATATCACTTCTTTGTGAAAACTTTTTGTATGCTAACTTTTCCTCTTACCACTGTTTTTTACCTCATCATTCTACTTCCTATTTTTTCCTCCTGCACCCACCCTCCGATAACCACAAACTTAAGCGGCACACTATCACTGCATTTTTGTTTACCCCATACCTCTTGGTTATCTATATTCTTTCTAGTCTATCTTTCCCAGCAGTTGCTTATATCTTACCATAACTACTACTTCTAGTATATAAACTTTCATTTTTCTCTTACTGATGCCATTTCATTTCAGTATGTGTATTAACTTAAAATATGTTCAACCTCAGCATTTTCCAAAACTGATCCTTATGGAATGCCACTTCTGGCGTGTCCCCACTCTGGTTTCACCCCATATATGCAAACTCTTGTTTCTTGCTAGTCATTCAGGAAAAGTTTTTTCTCCAGTTCCATATGCTTCTATTTTTGTTTAACTTTTTTCTATGGGGGCCTTACTGATGTCAAATAAACATTGTATTCTTTATCAGTCTCTCATAGTTATTACAAGGCAAGGCCCAACTTGTAGATGTTAGCTGTCCATGTACAGAGGACCCCCGCATAACGATATTATTTCAATCCAGAAGTCTGTTTGGGTGCCGTTATAGACCGATTTGTTCCCATAAGAAATATTGTGAATTAGATTAGTCCATTTCAGACCCCTAAAAATACACCTACAAAAGCACTTACAAAAATAAACTTACATAATTGGTTGAGTTGGGAGCTGATCGTTATCCGGGGGTCCACTGTATTTACTTATTGAGTAACCAAAGTGTGCATAAATGTAGGTTGCTGTATTAACCTAACTGTAACAGCCAATATTAAATATTAGTCAGTGCTTAGTTCTGACAGGCATAGACACTAATGCTTGCAAAATACAGTGGACCCCCGGTTAACGATATTTTTTCATTCCAGAAGTATGTTCATGTGCCAGTACTGACCGAATTTTTTCCCATAAGGAATATTGTGAAGTACGTTAGTCCATTTCAGACCCCCAACCATACACGTACAAACGCACTTACATAAATACACTTACATAATTGGTCGCATTTGGAGGTGATCGTTAAGTGGGGGTCCACTGTATTCTGTTCTATATGGGGAAGAGGTTGTATCACAACCTGACTGATCAGGCAGTACCTAACTGATTCCCCTTTTAAAAGCCTTTTTACCTTTGTGTCCATTATTTATTAATATCTGTAAAATGCTCGTATTTTGTATTAGACTAATTTTTGTTACTATAACAGTAAATGCTGCATTTTATGGCATTGTAGGTTATAGTATTGATGAATTATTGTCCAAGCATGTTATTATGCTCTCTAACATTTTTTTCCTTTTTCAGGTACAGCACAGCATCAGAGACTTCCGGAAAGTTATTCACTACAGAAGTATAGGCTAAATGGATTAGTATTTAATTTGCCTAGTCTGACAATCATCATTGTGAAGTGAAGAAACACTAAAAAGTACCCCCCCCCCCCCCCAAAAAAAAAGTCTTGTCATTCTGATAACAAAAATCACTTATGAAATTTGCTTAGATATCTAGCATTTAAAGTGTTCTGAAAAAAATTATTTTTAATTAAAGTGCTAATGTAAGGTAGCCAAACTTAGCTGACTATAGTTCAGTTTGCGGTCATAATCTGGTTACCAAAAACTGTCGTACGTATTGTACTTTCCATTAAATAGCAATCAATTCAAAACTGGTCAGTGTGTATTTGCAAGAAACGCAACTTGGCTGGATTTGTGCTGTAGCTACCTGTCATCTTCAAAAAATGGTTGCTCCGCATGACACAGGTGACCTGGTACGATCTTTAGTCCGTGTCCCAGGCAGTGGCTCAGATAGAGCTGCTGGTTCAGTTTGCTTTGACTTGGGCCGAACATCCACCTTGGCTGCAGCAGTCCCTGTGTCTCCAGAATTACCCTCAGCTCTGACAGGAACTAGGACTACAAAGCCAACAGAAGCAAACACTTCTTCGCAAAATCAACAGAATGCAAAGAATAAACTGACAGACAATGTGAAAGCTGAACCTGTCATATTAAGAAATGAAACGTCTGTACCATCTTCCTCCATGTCTCAAATAGGAGGAACTTCTCGCAAGCGTCCATGTCCCCAACAAACAAGCTCAGTGTGTGGAAGAACTGAAAGTAGCACTCCTGGAAGTAGCCAACCAGTAACTGGAGAGGGATTACCAGTTAACAAGAAAGCCAGAATTGTGTGCATGATCCCTGAACAAATTGGTGAAGATCCCAGCAACTTGGAAATGCTTAAATCTTCGGCACCCATGTTAATTTTACAACTTCCTCAGCATTTACTAAAAAGTGCACCACTTGTCATGATCCCAGAAACAGTTGGACAGTTGTTACAAGAGAGGAACAACCTGAGACAAGAAAACCAGATTCTTCAACAACAGTTGTCACTCTTTCGACAACTTTTTAGAAACAAGGAAAGGCTTACTTCTGTTGTCAAGCGACTGGGAGTCAAGGTTGCATAAGTGATGTAATTTACCAGTATATATACAATAGTGGAGCAGTAATAGTGGAACATACAACTATTTCATTAATGTTCAGTTCAGTTACTTATTTCTATGAAGAAAACAGCATAGTGTTATGCTTGGCCTATATATTAATATTTAAAACATTAATTTCACATTTAACTAAATTTGTTAACCAGAGCAAATTATAGTTGTACTGTTTGGATGCTTTTACAGCATATTAATGCTATATTATTTCCACATATAAAGATAATACTATCCAATTGTTGATCAGTGACTGAAAACTCATCCTTCATAAGGGACTGCAGTGAAGGTGACCTTTCACTAATTAATGACAAAGAAAAGTAGCATTACCTTATAATAATAATGGCTCTTTCATGGATTATTTCTGTGGTGGTTGCTGCTGCTCTTCTGGTGCCTTCATGGATTATTTCCATGATGGTACCTGATTCTCTTTTTCTAGTGCCTTCATGGATTATTTCCATGATGGTACCTGATTCTCTTTTTCTAGTGCCTTCATGGATTATTTCCATGATGGTATCTGATAATCTTGTGGTGCCTTCATGAATTATTTCCATGTTGGTATCTGATCCTCTTTCTTTGGTGCCTTCATGGATTTCCATGTTGGTATCTAATTCTCTTTCTCTGGTGCCTTCATGGATTATTTCCATGATGGTATCTGATCCTCTTTTTCTAATGCCTTCATGGATTATTTCCATGATGGTATCTGATCATCATCTGCTGCCTTCATGGATTATTTCCATGATGGTATCTGATCCTCTTTTTCTGGTGCCTTCATGGATTATTTCCATGTTGGTACCTGATCCTCTTTTTCTGGTGCCTTCATTGATTATTTCCATGATGGTATCTGATCCTCTTTTTCTGGTGCCTTCATGGATTATTTCCATGATGGTATCTGATCCTCTTTTTCTGGTGCCTTCATTGATTATTTCCATGATGGTATCTGATCCTCTTTTTCTGGTGCCTTCATTGATTATTTCCAAGATGGTATCTGATCCTCTTCTCTTTTTGTGCCCTCAGGGTTTATTTCCATGTTGGTTCCTGATTTCTTCTCTTCTGGTGCCTTCATGGATTATTTCCATGATGGTATCTGATCCTCTTCTAGTGCTGTCATGGATTATTTCCATGATGGTGTCAGATCATCTTCTGTAGTGCCTTCATAGATTATTTTGATGATCAAGGTATTGTAGTTGTGTATCCTTGAATTATGCTAGGAAAAGTAAAATTTCCTTAAACTTTTGAAAAAATATTACATGACCTTGAAATTTCCTTCATTGATTTCATTTATAGCAACTCATAATGAATATTGATTGTATTAATAAAATGTTTCCTTAGACTGGAAAGATCACTGTCAGAGCATCCTGCAGCTTATAAAATACCAGAATACATATGCATTTATTCTTTTCAGATAAGCAGCACTCATTTAATTAGCAAGATGAGGGGGATTTGATCATGTCCCCTAAAAGTGAACCATTTACTGCAAAGGCGGGTTGCAGATTTTGAAATAAAAAGCTTGCAAATATTAACATGAGAAATCCATTATTGTAATTGTAAATTGTGTAAATCAGATTCACTTTAATTTAAGGAGAAGTGTTGTTGAAAGTTCTTATAAATATAAAAATTGCTATTAAATAAACCTTTTTAATTATTGTATCAGTAGAAGACTGGTCTTGGCTTCTGCAGCATCCAAATATGCATCTAAAGATCATTATTCAGCAACCATCAACACTTAGTGGGAAAAAGCACCCATTCCATCCTCATCCAGCATAAGCACATTTTCCAACCACTTGTAGGAATCTACCTCATTGAATTTTAAATTCATCAATATTCAAGTGAATTAAAAAAGGTAATTTACTCAGGTGCACTGTTTTACCTTACCAGTATGCAAGATTGCTTGTACATTAATGGTAGGCAATAGTGACAAGATGATGAAGTAAGACACGTGCAACACCTGGGTATCTTGTAGATGTTTCAACATCCAGTGGCTTCATCAATACACTTGTGGCTTAGTGCTTCTTTTTGATTATAATAATAATAATTCATCAATACAAATCATGGGCATAATCAGAAGTCTGTAGAAATAAGTACAGATGACCCTGTAAGATGAGGTAATCAGTCCCTCAGCAAATGATGAGCACCGTAATCTTTTAAGAATTTGGAGCACAGGGTTTATACTGGAGTCAGATGAGAAGCAGCAGACAAAAGCATTGTCACTGGTAGGCAGGATTTCCTAGTGAAAGCAGATCATACCCAAGAGTTGAGCTAAGAGTAGGTAAGAAGGTTGTGGGGAATCCCACCTGCCAGTGATGATGCCTGTCTGCTGCTTCTCATCTGACTCCTGTATATAAGCTCCATTCTTCCTGCTTGTGCTTCAGATTCTTCAAGACTGGTGCTCATCACCTGCTTCTAGGCTGAGGGACTGATTCCCTCATCTTCCACAGACATCTGCACATATTTCTACAGACTTTAAATTATGTCCATGTATTAGATTGATAAGACACTGGATGGTGAAACATCTAAAAGTAAAGATACCCAGATGTTGCACATGTCTAATTCATCGAAATTGTTTGCATTATATGGATAATTGTTTTTATTAGTTTTATCATTAATAATGCTCTTTGGTTGGTGTAATTTTATGATATGACAAGAAAAGCATTTTTGTCTTCATTCTTGATCTCTTCTCATGTTCTTTAATTTTTAGCTATCAGCATGGCTACTCTGGTGGTATCTGGTCCTCTTCTCTTGTTACATTCATGGATTATTTCCATGTTTGTATCTGATCCTCTTCTCTTCTGGTGCCCTTATGGATTAATTCCATGATGGTATCTCTTCCTGGGAGTGATCATGTCAGAGGATCTCACTTTCAAAGACCATAACATTGTATCAATTGCATCTGCTAGAAAAATGACAGGATGGATAATGATAACCTTCAAAACTAGGGATGCCAAACCTATGACACTATTCAGGTGGAGTATTGCTGCACACTAACAGCACCTTTCAAGGCAGGTGAAATTGCTGACCTAGAAAATGTACAGAGAACCTTCATGGCACACACAACTGCAATAAAACACCTCAATTACTGGGAACACTTAAAGTTATTAAACCTGTACTCCCAAGAACATAGGCGGGAGAGATGCATGATTATATACACTTGGAAAATCCTAGAAGGATTAGTACCAAACTTGCACATGAAAATCACTCCCTCTGAAAGCAAAAGACTCGGCAGATGATGCATGATAAGAGACGACACAATAAGTGTCAGGGGCCCAAGACTTCAACTGCCTCCAAGCATACATAAGGGGAATTACCAGTAGGCCCCTGGATGTCTTCAAGTAGGCACTTGGTCAGTACATGACCAGCCAGGCTGTGCTTTGTACGCTGGGTTGAGTGCAGCCAACAGTAACAGCCTGGTTGATCAGGCTCTGATCCACCATGAGGCCTGGTCACAGACTGGGCTGTGGGGGCATTGACCCCCAGAACCCTCTTATGGTATACTCCAGGTGCCCTCGTCAATTATTTCCATGATGGTATCTCTTCCTCTTCTGGTGCCCTCATGGATTATTACCATGATGATGTGTCTTCCTTTTTTGGTACATTTATGGATTATTACCATGATAGTATCTTCCTTTTCTGGTACCTCATGGATTAGTGATGGTATCTTCCTCTCCTGGTGCCTTCATGGATTATATCCATGATGGTATCTGTTGCTCTTCTGGTGCCTTCATGGATTATTATGATATCCCTTTTCTGGTACCTTCATAGATTATTACCATGATGGTATCTGTTCCTCCTCCCTTCTGGTACCTTCATGGATTATTACCATGATATCTCTTCCTTTTCTGGTGCCTTCGTGGATTATTCCCACGATGGTACCTCTTCCTTTTCTGGACCCTTCGTGGATTATTTTCACAATGGTATCTCTTCCTTTTCTGGTGCCTTAGTGGATTATTTACACTATGGTATCTCTTCCTTTTCTGGTACCTTCATGGATTATTACCATGATGGTACCTCTTCCTTTTCTGGTGCCTTCATGGATTATTTCCATGATGGTATCTCTTCCTTTTCTGGTCCCTTCGTGGATTATTTCCACAATTGTATCTCTTCCTTTTCTGGTGCCTTCGTGGATTATTTCCACGGTGGTACCTCTTCCTTTTCTGGTCCCTTCGTGGATTATTTCCACGATGGTACCTCTTTCTTTTCTGGACCCTTCATGGATTATTTCCACAATGGTATCTCTTCCTTTTCTGGTGCCTTCATGGATTATTTCCATGATGGTATCTCTTCCTTTTCTGGTGCCTTTCGTGGATTATTTCCACGATGGTACCTCTTCCTTTTCTGGTCCCTTCGTGGATTATTTCCATGATGGTACCTCTTCCTTTTCTGGACCCTTCGTGGATTATTTCCACAATGGTATCTCTTCCTTTTCTGGTGCCTTCGTAGATTATTTCTATGGTGGTACCTCTTCCTTTTCTGGTGCCTTAGTGGATTATTTCCACGATGGTACCTCTTCCTTTTCTGGTCCCTTCGTGGATTATTTCCAAGATGGTACCTCTTCCTTTTCTGGTGCCTTCGTGGATTATTTCCACAATTGTATCTCTTCCTTTTCTGGTGCCTTCGTGGATTATTTCCACGGTGGTACCTCTTCCTTTTCTGGTCCCTTCGTGGATTATTTCCAAGATGGTACCTCTTCCTTTTCTGGTGCCTTCGTGGATTATTTCCACAATTGTATCTCTTCCTTTTCTGGTGCCTTCGTGGATTATTTCCACGGTGGTACCTCTTTCTTTTCTGGACCCTTCATGGATTATTTCCACAATGGTATCTCTTCCTTTTCTGGTGCCTTAGTGGATTACTTACACTATGGTATCTCTTCCTTTTCTGGTACCTTCATGGATTATTTCCACAATTGTATCTCTTCCTTTTCTGGTGCCTTTGTGGATTACTTCCACGATGGTACCTCTTCCTTTTTTGGTGCCTTTGTGGATTATTTCCACGATGGTACCTCTTCCTTTTCTGGTGCCTTCATGGATTATTTCCACGATGGTACCTCTTCCTTTTCTGGCGCTTTCGTGGATTATTTCCACGATGGTACCTCTTCCTTTTCTGGAGCCTTCGTGGATTATTTCCACAATGGTATCTCTTCCTTTTCTGGTGCCTTAGTGGATTATTTACACTATGGTATTTTTTCCTTTTGTGGTACCTTCATGGATTATTACCATGATGGTATCTCTTCCTTTTCTGGTGCCCTCATGGATTATTTCCACGATGGTATCTCTTCCTTTTCTGGTGCCTTCATGGATTATTTCCACGATGGTACCTCTTCCTTTTCTGGTCCCTTCGTGGATTATTTCCACGATGGTACCTCTTCCTTTTCTGGTCCCTTCGTGGATTATTCCCACGATGGTACCTCTTCCTTTTCTGGACCCTTTGTGGATTATTTTCACAATGGTATCTCTTCCTTTTCTGGTGCCTTAGTGGATTATTTCCACGATGGTACCTCTTCCTTTTCTGGTCCCTTCGTGGATTATTTCCACGATGGTACCTCTTCCTTTTCTGGTCCCTTCGTGGATTATTTCCACGATGGTACCTCTTCCTTTTCTGGACCCTTTGTGGATTATTTTCACAATGGTATCTCTTCCTTTTCTGGTGCCTTCGTGGATTATTTCCATGGTGGTACCTCTTCCTTTTCTGGTCTCTTCGTGGATTATTTCCACGATGGTACCTCTTTCTTTTCTGGACCCTTCATGGATTATTTTCACAATGGTATCTCTTCCTTTTCTGGTGCCTTAGTGGATTATTTACACTATGGTATCTCTTCCCTTTTTGGTGCCTTCATGGATTATTTCCATGATGGTATCTCTTCCTTTTCTGGTGCCTTTCGTGGATTATTTCCACGATGGTACCTCTTCCTTTTCTGGACCCTTCGTGGATTATTTCCACAATGGTATCTCTTCCTTTTCTGGTGCCTTCGTGGATTATTTCCACGGTGGTACCTCTTCCTTTTCTGGTGCCTTAGTGGATTATTTCCACGATGGTACCTCTTCCTTTTCTGGTCCCTTCGTGGATTATTTCCACGATGGTACCTCTTCCTTTTCTGGTCCCTTCGTGGATTATTTCCATGATGGTACCGCTTCCTTTTCTGGACCCTTTGTGGATTATTTCCACAATTGTATCTCTTCCTTTTCTGGTCCCTTTGTGGATTATTTCCACAATGGTACCTCTTCCTTTTCTGGTCCCTTCGTGGATTATTTCCACAATTGTATCTCTTCCTTTTCTGGTCCCTTTGTGGATTATTTCCACAATGGTACCTCTTCCTTTTCTGGCGCCTTCGTGGATTATTTCCACAATGGTACCTCTTCCTTTTCTGGCACCTTCGTGGATTATTTCCACAATGGTACCTCTTCCTTTTCTGGTCCCTTTGTGGATTATTTCCACAATGGTACCTCTTCCTTTTCTGGTCCCTTCGTGGATTATTTCCACAATTGTATCTCTTCCTTTTCTGGTCCCTTTGTGGATTATTTCCACAATGGTACCTCTTCCTTTTCTGGTCCCTTCGTGGATTATTTCCACAATGGTACCTCTTCCTTTTCTGGCGCCTTCGTGGATTATTTCCACAATGGTACCTCTTCCTTTTCTGGCGCCTTCGTGGATTATTTCCACAATGGTACCTCTTCCTTTTCTGGTCCCTTCGTGGATTATTTCCACAATGGTACCTCTTCGTTTTCTGGTCCCTTCGTGGATTATTTCCACAATGGTACCTCTTCCTTTTCTGGACCCTTCGTGGATTATTTCCACGATGGAACCTCTTCCTTTTCTGGTCCCTTCGTGGATTATTTCCACGATGGTACCTCTTTCTTTTCTGGACCCTTCATGGATTATTTCCACAATGGTATCTCTTCCTTTTCTGGTGCCTTAGTGGATTATTTACACTATGGTATCTCTTCCTTTTCTGGTGCCTTCATGGATTATTTCCATGATGGTATCTCTTCCTTTTCTGGTGCCTTTGTGGATTATTTCCACGATGGTACCTCTTCCTTTTTTGGTGCCTTCTTGGATTATTTCCACGATGGTACCTCTTCCTTTTCTGGTGCCTTCGTGGATTATTTCCACGATGGTACCTCTTCCTTTTCTGGAGACTTCGTGAATTATTTCCACAATGGTATCTCTTCCTTTTCTGATGCCTTAGTGGATTATTTACACTATGGTATCTTTTCCTTTTCTGGTGCCTTCTTGGATTATTACCATGATGGTATCTCTTCCTTTTCTGGTGCCCTCATGGATTATTTCCACGATGGTATCTCTTCCTTTTCTGGTTCCTTCATGGATTATTTCCACGATGGTACCTCTTCCTTTTCTGGTCCCTTCGTGGATTATTTCCACGATGGTACCTCTTCCTTTTCTGGTCCCTTCGTGGATTATTCCCACGATGGTACCTCTTCCTTTTCTGGACCCTTCGTGGATTATTTTCACAATGGTATCTCTTCGTTTTCTTGTGCCTTAGTGGATTATTTACACTGGTATCTCTTCCTTTTCTGTTACCTTCATGGATTATTACCATGATGGTATCTCTTCCTTTTCTGGTGCCTTCATGGATTATTTCCATGATGGTATCTCTTCCTTTTCTGGTCCCTTCATGGATTATTTCCACAATTGTATCTCTTCCTTTTCTCCTGCCTTCGTGGATTATTTCCACAGTGGTACCTCTTCCTTTTCTGGTCCCTTCGTGGATTATTTCCACAATGGTACCTCTTTCTTTTCTGGACCCTTCATGGATTATTTCCACAATGGTATCTCTTCCTTTTCTGGTTCCTTAGTGGATTATTTACACTATGGTATCTCTTCCTTTTTTGGTGCCTTCATGGATTATTTCCATGATGGTATCTCTTCCTTTTCTGGTGCCTTTCATGGATTATTTCCACGATAGTACCTCTTCCTTTTCTGGTCCCTTCGTGGATTATTTCCACGTTGGTACTTCTTCCTTTTCTGGACCCTTTGTGGATTATTTCCACAATGGTACCTCTTCCTTTTCTGGTCCCTTCGTGGATTATTTCCACAATGGTACCTCTTCCTTTTCTGGTCCCTTTGTGGATTATTTCCACGATGGTACCTCTTCCTTTTCTGGTCCCTTCGTGGATTATTTCCGCGATGGTACCTCTTCCTTTTCTGGTGCCTTTGTAGATTATTCCACAATGGTACCTCTTCCTTCCTTTTCTGGTGCCTTCGCGGATTATTTCCACAATGGTATCTCTTCCTTTTCTGGTGCCTTCATGGATTATTTCCATGATGGTATCTAACACTATTTTTGCTTTCATGGATGAGCTTGATTGGGAAATCTTTTCTCACCTTATTTGTTTGCATTTGCTTTCTAGTTTATTTGTACAGTGTATTACTAACATTGCTGCAAAATATTGGAATAAGCACTGGACCATTTTTATTGCACTGTCTACGTAGTAGTAGTAGTAGTAAAAAAAAAAAAAAAAAAAAAAAAATCCTGCCTCAGTAGGAAACCGCTGACGAGTTGGAAAAAAATGCGTATATATATATGTAATAATTATTAAGTAGTATGTTTAGTTTTATTTAAAATTATTAAATGGTTACAGATGAAGCTCAGCTACTGTATATAGGTTACTTTTGCACATTAAAATTAGTGCATAGATAATACCTTTTGTGCTCGAGGGAAAAAAAAAATTTTTTTTTCTAATGTATAACAAGGATTGTCATTGAAAATATTAAGATGAAATACTGTAAATAGAGGTATTACGTATTATAAAACCCAAGCAATAAACCCACAAGGGTCATAGTGCTGGTAAATAGAAATAGTCAACTAGGGTAGGCATTTATTTTAATGTTTCATTTGGAGAAAGTAGGGGCTCATTTAGTTTCACAATAGGTGAAGACATATTACATACCCTTTGCTTTTCATTTTGAAACCTAGGATTACAGCTGCTTCAATATTTTCTCTGGTATAACAAGTTAGATGTACTGTATACATTTAAATGTAACTTTAAACTTTGTATTAAAGACATCATGATTCTGTTGTTGTTTAACATTCCTTTGTGAGCCTACTGGGCACCATCCATCAGGACAGGTGCCTTGATGCTGGTGAGGCACTCTTGATCGAAAGTAATGGACCTGTGCACTTTTATCATACCCAACTGTCTCCCATTCCTCTGAAATCATGACTCATACAGGTTTAGTGCTTCCCCAATTAAAATAAATTTCAAGGTTCCAGAAGGGAAATATTACTGTACTAATACATTGATAAGTGTCTTTTGTAGATTTTAAAAAAAATTTAGTTTCCTTGGAATGACCTTGAATTAATAATCCTGAAATGCAGTATGACTTAAGGGTTTAACATACTGTGCATGTAATTGGTAGTATATTAAAAGGTGCCAATCACAGTTCATAGATGTATGTAATAATCTATTATGGATTTAGCACTTCCCATAAACATTAATCCAGTACTGTCATCATAAAGTGCTAAACCTGTATAGGTCATAATACAATACTAATCATTGGAAGCACTAAGCCCACAGGAATATTAGTGCCTGGGAAATGAGAAGTAACCAGGTTTTATTTGAGGGTAACTCATTCCTTGGATCAAGAGTTTCACCAGCATAAAGGCACTCCCCTCAAAAATTAATAAAGCACTAATTTCTGCTCTCAATAACTTGTACAGGGTTGGCACTTCAAAAATATAATACTGGAACTAAATATTTCCTCATCTGAAAGTTATAAAATTGCAATATTAACACCCCTATGAAGGAGGGGTGTTAGTGTTGCAGTTCTATAACTAGTGTAAGTGCACCTCTGGCAAGACAATATAGGAGTGAAGAGATAGCCGACGTGTTAAAAAAATTATCAAAATTTAGTATTAAATATTTGGCATTGATAAAAAAATACTTTTAGGTAGTAGGTTGGTAGACAGTAACCACCCAGGGAGGTACTACCATCCTGCCAAGTGAAACTAAAGCCTGTAATTGTTTTACATGATGATAGGATTGCTGGTGTCCAATTTTTTCTCTCAAACATGCAAGGTTTCAGGTACGTCTTGCTACTTATACTTACACTTTGGTCACACTACACATGTATATGCTTGTACAGTGGACCCCCGCATACCGATTTTAATCCGTGCAAGAGGGCTCATTGGTATGCGAAATAATCGGTATGCGAATGAATTTTCCCCATAAGAAATAATGGAAATCAAATTAATCCGTGCAAGACACCCAAAAGTATGAAAAAAATTTTTTTACCACATGAAATATACATTTTCCTACACACAAAGAGAAGGATACATGCACAATAGTAGAGTAGTACATGCACAGTATATATTGTGCATGTACTAGTCTACTAAATGAAGAATAAATGACACTTACCTTTATTGAAGATGCAGCAATGACATGAGACACTGTGTCCTGGGAGTGCCTTTTCCTCCTGAGTACTGTAGGTCCTGTTTGGTATTTTCTTCCAGAACATGCCTTATCACACTGTGTATGTCACTACGATTCTTAAATATCTCAAACCAACCTTTGCTGGCTTTAAATTCACCAATATGAGCACTAGTTCCAGGCATTTTTTCCTGTTCACCTGGGTGTTAGTCGACTGGTGTGGGTTGCATCCTGGGAGACAAGATTAAGGACCCCAATGGAAATAAGTTAGACAGTCTTCGATGACACTGACTTTTTTGGGTTATCCTGGGTGGCAAATCCTCTGGGGTTAATTATTTCTTGGTATATTCTCAATAAGCCACACCAACAACAGTGCTACAGCAGCAGCAGACGATGCTACAGCAGCAGCAGCAGCTGACGGTGCTACAGCAGCAGCAGACGATGCTACAGCAGCAGCAGACGATGCTACAGCAGCAGCAGCAGCTGACAGTGCAGCAGCAGCAGCAGCTGTACCACCAATAGTAGCGATGGTTGATTGGGGTTTATTATACAACCTGGCCAGCTCGGAGACATGCACTCCACTTTCATACTGATCAATGATCTTTTTCTTCATCTCTATTGTAATTCTCACCCTTATTGCTGTAGGGTTGGCACTAGAAGCTTTCTTGGGGCCCATGGTCACTTATTTTCCAGATAAAATCACCAAAAACACTGTAATAATACGAAATGTTACGATTGTATGCTTGGATGTTACCACGGAGGCTGGCTGGTAAACAATGGCACGGGCGGCACATGAGAGGCTGGCTGAGGGCGCACATTGGACGCGTCTCGGACGAACAGCGGTGAGCGGGTTTTTGAGCGGTATGCGAGGCAAAATTTTTGCGATTTAAGCAAGCGGTATGCGGATTAATCGTTATGTGATGCCAACGGTATGCGGGGGTCCACTGTACATATGTATATACACACCCCTCTGGGTTTTCTTTTATTTTTCTTACTAGTTCTTGTTCCTGTTTATTTCCTCTTACCTCCATGGGGAAGTGGAACAGAATTCTTCCTCCGTAAGCTGTGTGTGTCATAAGAGGCAACTAAAATGCCGGGAGCAAGGGGCTAGTAACTCCTTCTCCTGTATATATTAAATTTAAAACGGAGAAACTTTCGTTATTCCTTTTGAGCCACCCCACCTCAGTGGGATATGGCCGGTGTGTTGAAAGAAAGAAGAAGAAAAATACTTGGCATTTTATTTTTATTATGTATAGTGGAATAATATTTAGTTTTTATTAACAAATTCTTAGTACTCTTATTTTTTTATAGTCAATATACATGTACAGTACAACATCATAGTAGCCTCATCAGGATCACTTGAATACTTAACTCACGGGGAAAAATTCTTTTATACAAATTTTACCTTGCTAATTTTTATATACAAAATAAATTTGCTGTATTTAAGTTTGGTTGGTGATATGCGAGTTTTTCCTGGTGTATATTCTTCAGGTGATCCTCTCAACATTTCTATGACAACGTTTACAAATGGATTGTACAAATAAATAATTTTGCCATAATTCATCCACTTAAATCATATATATACACTAATTTTATTAGTACCCATTTACATCACCATCACATCAAATAAATCTTTAGTCATAAAAATTATTCTTATATAGGAATACTGGTGGTATAATAGTAGTAGATCGTGACATCTAGCTGAGCAGCGATATAAGGGCATCGAAGAACTTGCTGCGGTCATCCACACTCAGCCGGATAACTGTGGAAACAAACTATTAACAACTATGGAATTGATTGAAATTTGTAAAGCATTAGTCTGTTGTAGAGGTCAACAATATCAATGACTATCTAAAAGAGTGAACACCACCAAAACAAAAAAAAATTGCAGGAAATAACAAAGTGTCTTTTTTCATTATATGCATTGTACACCCAACTGTGTAAACTCAATTTTGACAACTTAATGAAAGAACTATTTTTGGCCAATTCAAAGACTTCTACAGTTTGCTGTAGACTGTCTTGGGTATAGCACTTAATTTGATGATAATATAATTACTTTTTAATATTTAGTGAAGGGATTCAGGGAAACCGGTTATTTTCATATAGTCGGACTTGAGTCCTGGAAATGGGAAGTACAATGCCTGCACTTTAAAGGAGGGGTTTGGGATATTGGCAGTTTGGAGGGATATGTTGTGTATCTTTATACGTATATGCTTCTAAACTGTTGTATTCTGAGCACCTCTGCAAAAGCAGTGATAATGTGTGAGTGTGGTGAAAGTGTTGAATGATGAAAGTATTTTCTTTTTGGGGATTTTCTTTCTTTTTTGGGTCACCCTGCCTCGGTGGGAGACGGCCGACTTGTTAAAAAAAAAAAATTACTTTTTGCTACAAGTCTTGTAAAAGCATTTAAATCCAATACAAACTTTCAATTAAAGAGGAATATTGTAAATAAAAAATAAAAACACAGTTGCTGCAGCAGTCTCCCAGCTTAATTAGGCAATACAGTACATACCTGTCTGCCATTCTGCCTGACTAGGATGAAATTTATGGGAAGCCAAATCAAAAACATGAAAATAAAATTCATGAACTGTTCTAAATATGTAGGATCATTCAGTAAAGGGTCAAAGGCAGTGGCAAGAGGATGGGAGGAGGAATAGAAGTAAATAAGTAATTCAGTCTATATAGACCAATACAAGGTCAAAAAAGTAAGATAAAACTATATAAAAGGTGGGAATCTAAGAAGGGTGTTGAAGGACTGACTGAAAACAATTTTCTCAATTATGTGAAACCCTTCTAAGTTTCAGGGCTGAAAACTGTTTGCAAATATCTTGGGTGCTCTATTTTTTTTTTTAACAAGTCGGCCATCTCCCACCGAGGCAGGGTGACCCAAAAAGAAAATACTTTCATCATCATTCAACACTTTCACCTCACTCACACATAATCACTGTTTTTGCAGAGGTGTTCAGAAATACAAGTTTAAAAGCATATACGTATAAAGATACACCACTTATCCCTCCAAACTGCCAATATCCCAAACCCCTCCTTTAACCCTTTCAGGGTCGCCAGGCCCTCTCCAAGACTTGTTCTCAGGGTCACCAAATTTAAAAAAAAAAAATTCTTATGAAAAGATAGAAAATCTTTTCCCAATCATAATGACACCAAAAGTATGACATTTGATGGAAAACTTATGGAATTATGCTCTCGCAACGTTAGCGGTCTCAATGTTTATGCATCGGCGATTTTGCCCACTTTCAGCCCTATTTTCGGCCAATTCCAGTGTACATACTAGTCGACAAAAATCATAACTATTTCGCTAGAACTCCATTTTTTCTATCGAATGAGTACAAGAAACCACCCATTTACCGATTTCAACTATCCAATAAAGTGGTCAGAATTTAGCAACTTTGCCAATTTCACAGAAATTTCAAAAGATGCAAATTTCCAAATAGGGTCCAGAATAAACAAGAAAGACATTCCTGGCACTAAAATAACATCTCTGTTCATTAGTCACGTCTCAAGGCCCCTCTTACATTCTTTTGCTTTTCACTTTGAATTTTTATTCTCACAAAAAATAGAAGATTTACTGTTATACAGACTACTGCATTAGTGTAGAAATGGTATAAATAATATCAGCGCACTTGTGAAAGAATATTAAACTCACCAGTTGACGTGTATTGGACGCGTAGCATGATTTATTTACTTTTGAACTTTGGTAAAAATCGAACATTTCTGCTACTTTGACCCCTCAAGGAAGGTTCCTTGATGTTGGTGAGGGGCTCTTGATTTAGGAAATTGGATCTGTGCTCCAGTTCCCTGAATTAAGCCTGAATGCCTTCCACATCCCTCCCCAGGCGCTGTATAATCCTCCGGGTTTAGCGCTTCCCCTTGATTATAATAATAATAATAATCTGCTACTTTGAGCTCAATTTCAAGGTACTTTTCATTGTAAAACCAGTCAAAATCATCTCAATTTCTGTAATCTGTCTTCCATTCTATAAAATGTGACCAGGAAAACTAAATACAACAACAAATACCATACGAAAATACAGTGCAAAGTCGCTGTTTTAATCCAAAAACACGGTCAAAGTTTTTTTTTTTTCTCATTACGCAGTGTGTGCTGCAGGGTTTTTTTAATACTGCGCACACTGACCACATAGACCCATTCTTTCATATGTAGGCCTACCAGCTTTCGCTCACTAGATTTGAGGGCGCTAGAATTTAGGCGTACTAGAACATCAAAAACCCTGGTGCGTAAGCCATACTAGTACGTCCGAAACCCTGAAAGGGTTAAAGTGCAGGCATTGTACTTCCTATTTCCAGGACTCAGGTCCGGCTATATAAAAATAACCGGTTTCCCTGAATCCCTTCACTAAATATTACCCTGCTCACGCTCCAACAGCTTGTCAGGTCCAAAATACCATTCATCTCCATTCACTGCTATCTAACACGCTCACACGCGCTTGATGGGAGTCCAAGCCCCTCGCCCACAAAACCTTTACCCCCTCCCCCCAACCTTTTCGAGGACGACCCCTACCCCGCCTTCCTTCCCCTACAGATTTATACGCTCTCAATGTCATTCTACTTTGATCCATTCTCTCTAAATGACCAAACCACCTCAACAACCCCTCTTCAGCCCTCTGACTAATACTTTTATTAACTCCACACCTTTTCCTAATTTCCACATTCCGAATTTTCTGCATAATATTTACACCACACATTGCCCTTAGACAGGACATCTCCGCTGCCTCCAACTGCCTCCTCGCTGCAGCATTTGCAACCCAAGCTTCACACCCATATACAAGTGTTGGTACTACTATACTTTCATACATTCCCTTCTTTGCCTCCATAGATAACATTTTTTGTCTCCACATATACCTCAACGCACCACTCGCCTTTTTTCCTTCATCAATTCTATGATTAATCTCATCCTTCATAAATCTATCTGCTGACATGTCAACTCCCAAATATCTGAAAACATTCACTTCTTCCATACTCCTCCTCAATTTGATATCCAATTTTTCTTTATCTAAATCATTTGATACCCTTGTCACCTTACTCTTTTCTATGTTCACTTTCAACTTTCTACCTATACACACACTCCCAAACTCGTCCACTAACCTTTGCATTTTTCTTTAGAATCTCCCATAAGCACAGTATCATCAGCAAAAAGTAACTGTCAATTCCCATTTTGTATTTGATTCCCCATAATTTAATCCCACCCCTTTCCCCAACACCCTAGCATTTACATCTTTTACAACCACATTTATAAATATATTAAAGAACCATGGTGACATTACACATCCCTGTCTAAGACCTACTTTTACCAGGAAGTAGTCTCCCTCTCTTCTACACACTAACCTGAGCCTCACTATCCTCATAAAAACTCTTTACAGCATTTAGTAACTGTCTGCCTATTCCATATACTCGCAATATCTGCCACACTGCTCCCCTATCCACTCTGTCACATGCCTTTTCTAAATCCATAAATGCAATAAAAACTTCCCTACTTTTATCTAAATACTGTTCACATATATGCTTTAATGTAAACACTTGATCTACACATCCCCTACCCACTCTAAAACCTCCTTGCTCATCTGCAATCCTACATTCTGTCTTAACTCTTAATTCTTTCAATAATAACCCTACCATACACTTTTCCTGTTATACTCGGTAAACTTATTCCTCTAGAATTTTTACTATCTCTTTTGTCCTCCTTCCCTTTATATAAAGGGACTATACATGCTCTCTGCCAATTCCTAGGTACCTTCCCCTCTTTCATACATTTATTAAACAAAAATACCAGCCACTCCAACACTATATCACCCCCTGCTTTTAACATTTCTGTCCCGATCCCATCAGTTCCAGATGCTTTACCCCCTTTCATTCTACGTAATGCCTCATGCACCTCCCCCCACACTCACCTCCTGCTCTTCTTCACTCCTAAAAGATGGTATACTTCCCTGGCCAGTGCATGAAATTACCGCCTCCCTTTGTTCGTCGATATTTAAAAGTTCCTCAAAATATTCTCGCCATCTACCCAATACCTCCATCTCCCCATCTACTAACTCCCCTACTCTGTTTTTAGCTGACAAATTCATTCATTCCCTAGGCTTTCTTAACTTGTTTAACTCACTCCAAATTTTTTTCTTAATTTCATTAAAATTCTTGACAGTGTCTCTCCCAACTCTATCTGCTAACCTTTTGCACTCTCTCACCACTCTCTTCACCCTTCTTTTACTCTCCATATACTCTACTCTTCTTATAACACTTCTGCTTTGTAAAAACCTTTCATAAGCTACCTTTTTCTCTTTTATCACACCCTTTACTTAATCATTCTACCAATCACTCCTCTTTCCTCCTGCACCCACTCTCCTATAACCACAAACTTCTGCCCACATTCTAATACTGCATTTTTAAAACTATTCCAACCCTCTTCAACCCTCCTATTACTCATACTTGCACCAGCCCACCTTTCTGCTAATAGTTGCTTATATCTCACCCGAACTTCCTCCTCCTTTAGTCTATACACTTTCACCTCCCTCTTACTTCTTGTTGCCATTTTCCTCTTGTCCCATCAACCTCTTATATAAAAAGGCAGTTGAAAAACCTGAGACCAAACACAGAAGGCTGTACACCTAAGAATTTAATTTTGAGAGAAAAAGACACAATGTTCCTTGTTTCAAGTAAATGCCTAATTTTGTGCCATATTATTATTCAAAGCACCAAACTCTTGGGGGTCGTTCAGCACCAAAATTGGTGGAAGCTCTGGCCTAATTCCACTAATGACCCAACCCAATTTCTATCAGGTGGATTGTTGGTGATGGCCTTTGTGTAATGCTGAGAAACTTAATTTTTAATTTATCAAGTCATAAATACAGTGCTAAGACAATGAATGAAAACGAAGCATATTTATACTTACTATTTGTATCAAAGAATTCTAATTCTGCCTTTGAACCTGTCTTGTCAGCTGCTTGTTCAAAAGCTTTCCCAAAGAAACTGTAAAAATCATTATAAAAACAAATCTTATTTTTTTAGAATTACTTTTATGACAAGCTATGGAAAAGAAACAGCATTTTTTTTGCACATGATGTATAACTCATTTTGTTGTCATACTGTAACTGAACTTTATTTTTTATTTTATCAATATGTCAAAAAATTGTCTTTATACTCTTAATGCGAATAATGTTTATCAATAATGTGAAACACAAGTTAAGTTTTAATCCTGATAAAAGCAACGATAAACACTCAAGTCATGCCACAAAACTTAACAGATTTAGTTTTTCTACTCTACCTATTACATTTGTCCCATAAATAAATTTAGAGAGGAATGGCAAAGCACCAACAGTATGGTATTGTATGACATACGTATACAAATACTGAACTTCCATAAATGAAAAGAAATTCAGTTACTAGTATCTAAGCCATTTCGTGAACTACTGGTTTGTAAAATACTTTATATAGGAATATTCATAAACAAAATTTTAATCACTATTTGACTCACTTTCTTGGAGATTCTTCTGAAGTTGGAGGGATACCACAAACAAGACATATGTTTGACTCAGATGATCTAACATCTGGAGTGGTGATGATGAGGGGTAGTGAACGTGATTTTTTACTTCGTGAAACTGCAACATGTGCCTTCAAAGTGAAGCGAGCCAGGAGGGATAGACAATGTGGAGCTGCAAAAAATCTAGCATCTGGGGTACCCTAATAATAAAAAGAAAACAGACATGACATAACAATATTTCATACAGTAGCTGGAAGATAAAGGAATATTAATACTTCCAAACAATTCTTCCTGATACAATGATACTCATATTTATAACAATGCATAGAGATATTTGGAATCTTTGAAACTTCAAATTACAATACAGAGACATGACATGGCTCTCATCTTTACACACAAAAAATTCATACTAGGAGACATTTCCCAAAATACTTGACAGGATACTTCTACATGTACTACTGTACAATAATAATAATTTATTTCACAGCATTTCAGGCAAACTTAAGACTAGGATCATGACACTAAAACACTACACAGTTATGCACATGCAGTATAATTTACGAGGAGTTCAGAGAGAAGAGAGAGAGGAGAGAGGAGAGGAGAGAGATGAGAGAAGAGAGAGAGTGAGAGAGTGAAAAGTGAGAGAGAGAGTGAGAGAGTGAGAGAGAGAGTGAGAGAAGAGAGTGAGAGAGAGTGAGGAGAGGAGAGAGAGATGAGAGAGAGTGAGAGAGAGAGTGGAGAGAGATGAGAGAGAGAGGGAGAGAGAGGGGTGAGAGAGAGAGAGAGAGAGAGAGAGAGAGAGAGTGAGAGAGAGAGAGTGAGAGAGAGAGTGGAGAGAGAAGAAGAGTAGAGAGAGTGAGGAGAGAGGAGAGAGAGAGAGTGAGAGGAGTGGGGAGAGAGAGTAGAGAGAGAGAGTGAGAGAGAGAGTGAGAGAGAGTGAGAGAGAGTGAGAGAGAGAGTGAGAGAGAGAGTGAGAGAGAGGAGTGAGAGAGAGAGTGAGAGAGTGAGAGATGAGGAGAGAGTGAGAGAGAGAGTGAAGAGGTGAGAGAGAGTAGTGAGTGAGAGAGTGAGAGAGAGTGGGAGAGATGTGAGAGAGTGAGAGGGAGGTGAGGTGAGAGTGAGAGAGTGAGAGAGTGAGAGTGAGTGAGGAGTGAGAGAGAGTGAGAGTGAGTAGGGAGAGTGAGAGTGGAGTAGTGAGTGTGAGTGTGAGTGTGAGTGTGAGTGTGAGTGTGTGTGTGTGTGTGTGTGTGTGTACTCACCTAGTTGAGGTTGCGGGGGTCGAGTCCGAGCTCCTGGCCCCGCCTCTTCACTGATCACTACTAGGTCACTCTCCCCACTCTCCCTGAGCCGTGAGCTTTATCATACCTCTGCTTAAAGCTATGTATGGATCCTGCCTCCACTACATCACTTCCCAAATTATTCCACTTACTGACTACTCTGTGGCTGAAGAAATACTTCCTAACATCCCTGTGATTCATCTGTGTCTTCAGCTTCCAACTGTGTCCCCTTGTTACTGTGTCCAATCTCTGGAACATCCTGTCTTTGTCCACCTTTTCAATTCCTCTCAGTATTTTGTATGTCATTATCATGTCCCCCCTATCTCTCCTGTCCTCCAGTGTCGTCAGGTTGATTTCCCTTAACCTCTCCTCGTAGGACATACCTCTTAGCTCTGGGACTAGTCTTGTTGCAAACCTTTGCACTTTCTCTAGTTTCTTTACGTGCTTGGTTAGGTGTGGGTTCCAAACTGGTGCCGCATACTCCAATATGGGCCTAACGTACACGGTGTACAGGGTCCTGAATGATTCCTTATTAAGATGTCGGAATGCTGTTCTGAGGTTTGCTAGGCGCCCATATGCTGCAGCAGTTATTTGGTTGATGTGCGCTTCAGGAGATGTGCCTGGTGTTATACTCACCCCAAAAAGATCTTTTTCCTTGAGTGAGGTTTGTAGTCTCTGGCCCCCTAGACTGTACTCCGTCTGCGGTCTTCTTTGCCCTTCCCTAATCTTCATGACTTTGCACTTGGTGGGATTGAACTCCAGGAGCCAATTGCTGGACCAGGTCTGCAGCCTGTCCAGATCCCTTTGTAGTTCTGCCTGGTCTTCGATCGAGTGAATTCTTCTCATCAACTTCACGTCATCTGCAAACAGGGACACCTCAGAGTCTATTCCTTCCGTCATGTCGTTCACAAATACCAGAAACAGCACTGGTCCTAGGACTGACCCCTGTGGGACCCCGCTGGTCACAGGTGCCCACTCTGACACCTCGCCACGTACCATGACTCGCTGCTGTCTTCCTGTCAAGTATTCCCTGATCCATTGTAGTGCCTTCCCTGTTATCCCTGCTTGGTCCTCCAGTTTTTGCACCAATCTCTTGTGTGGAACTGTGTCAAACGCCTTCTTGCAGTCCAAGAAAATGCAATCCACCCACCCCTCTCTCTCTTGTCTTACTGCTGTCACCATGTGTGTGTGTGTGTGTGTGTGTGTGTGTGTGTGTGTGTGTGTGTGTGTGTTGTGAGAGTGGAGAGTGAGAGGAGAGAGTGTGAGAGAGGTGTAGAGTGTGAGAGAGTGTAAGAGGTGAGAGAGTGTGAGAGAGAGTGTGAGAGAGTGTGAGAGAGTGAGAGTGTGAGTGAGAGAGAGTGAGAGAGAGTGAGAGAGTGAGTGAGAGAGTGAGAGAGAGTGAGAGAGAGAGTGAGAGAGAGAGTGAGAGTGAGAGAGTGAGATGTGAGAGGAGTGAGAGAGAGGAGAGTGAGAGAGAGTGAGATGTGAGAGAGTGAGAGATGAGTGAGAGAGTGAGAGAGGAGTGAGAGAGAGAGTGAGAGAGTGAGAGAGGAGTGAGAGAGTGAGAGAGAGAGTGAGTGAGAGAGTGAGAGGTGGAGAGGAGTGAGAGAGAGAGTGAGGGAGAGAGAGAAGATGTGTGTGAAGAAGTGTAGAGGTGAAAGCAAGTGGAAGGAGAGCAATGAAGAGGTGAAAAAGAAAAGTGTTGCTAACAGACCTTGCTCTACAGTGCAAGGAATGGGAAGAGCCAATGATTTCATGGTGAAAATACAGTCTCAGAAAGTTCTAACAGTTTACCTCATAACCTCATACATGAATGGAGCATAGAATACTGATTTTAAGATAAGGTCAGAACTAAAAGCCAATTTGTTTACTGTTCTCAATATTCATGGCATAACAGATGCCAGCAGATCTGACTTGATTATGTAATAAGAAGGACATGTATTGTTGTATCATGGTTCAATTGTCTTGTCTTACTGTTATTATACCCTTCATGAAAAACTGTGACTTAGATTGCTTGTAAAAAAAAGAAAAATGAACAATAAGAAAGAGTACAAGTATTTGTACAGTAATCATCTCCAAATTCTGAGCCCAAGTCATGGCACTGTTACTTAAGTGATTCAGATGGTAAAAGTTACGAAACTCTATATGTATAACAACAACATATGAACAGCAAGGAAGGAAGAGTATGCTCATGCAAAAGGACTATAGATGTAGTACACAACATGAATATTCACAAGATCACTGGAGATACTTGACCAACCATAAATGCAATCTGGAGAATCAAGGTACATTTACAGAAATAGTCAATGTACTAACATGTGAGTCCCAAGAATGGCATGGAGTTCTGCAGTGAAGATAGGACTATCAGTAGCTGAGTACAATAATATTCAGCAAGTATCACTGCAAAACTTTGACCTTCAACACATAAAATAAGCCAAGGAAAGAATTCTAAATTGGATCTCCAATCTTCCAGAGAATAAAGAGCAAGATGGGGTATGATCACAACAAAATATTCACAAGTAACCTGTACTTAGAAGAGGATTTATTGATCCATCCTAGATCACTGTCAAGTCACAACTCCGATTTGACCTGATAATGGCCCAGGCTGGACTGAAATGCTCTCACAATTTTCCTCTACTAAGTACAGGTTATTTGTGAATTATTTCAATACTGTCACTTATTGTACACAGACAATATTCTGCCTCGGTGGAAGACGGCTGACTTGTTGAGGAGAAGAAAGAAAAGAAAAAGAAAAGAAAGGAAAAGGAGAAAAAAAAAAAAAAATGATATATCGGATCATTATCTAGTTGTAGCTACAGTTAGAGTAAGAGGTAGATGGGATAAGAGAAAAATGGCAACAACAAGTAAGAGAGAGGTGAAAGTGTATGAACTAAGGGAAGAGGAAGTTCGGGTGAAATATAAGCAACTATTGGCAGAAAGGTGGGCTGGTGCAGGTATGAGTAGTGGGGGGGGGGGGGGGTTGAAGAGGGCTGGAATAGTTTTAAAAATGCAGTGTTAGAATGTGGGGTAGAAGTTTGTGGTTATAGGAGGGTGGGTGCAGGAGGAAAGAGGAGTGATTGGTGGAATGATTAAGTAAAGGGTGTGATAAAAGAGAAAAATGTAGCTTATGAGAGGTTTTTACAAAGCAGAAGTGTTATAAGAAGAGTAGAGTATATGGAGAGTAAAAGAAGGGTGAAGAGAGTGGTGAGAGAGTGCAAAAGGAGAGCAGATAGAGTGGGAGAGGCACTGTCAAGAATTTTAATGAAATAAAGAAAATTTTTTGGAGTGAGTAAACAAGTTAAGAAAACCTAGGGAACAAATGGATTTGTCAGTTAAAGACAGTAGGGGAGATAGTAGATGGGGAGATGGAGGTTTTGGGTAGATGGCGAGAATATTTTGAGGAACTTTTAAATGTCGACAAAGAAAGGGAGGTGGCAATTTCATGCACTGGCCAGGGAGGTACACTATCTTTTAGGAGTTAAGAAGAGCAGGATGTGAGCGTGGGGGAGGTGCGTGAGGCATTGCATAGAATGATGGGGGGTAAAGTAGCTGGAACTGACGGGATCATGACAGAAATGTTAAAAGCAGGGGAAGGGACAGTGTTGGAATGGTTGGTATTTTTGTTTAATAAATGTATGAAAGAGGGGAAGGAACCTAGGGATTGGCGGAGAGCATGTATAGTCCCCTTATATAAGGGAAGGGGGACAAAAGAGATTGTAAAAATTATAGAGGAAAAAGTTTACCGAGTATACCAGGAAAAGTGTACGGTAGGGTTATTATTGAAAGAATTAGAGGTAAGACAGAATGTAGAATTGCGGATGAGCAAGGTTTTAGAGTGGGTAGGGGATGTGTAGATCAAGTGTTTACATTGAAGCATATATGTGAGCAGTATTTAGATAAAGGTAGGGAAGTTTTTATTGCATTTATAGATTTAGAAAAGGCATAAGATAGAGTGGATAAAGAAGCTATGTGGCAGATGTTGCAAGTTTATGGAATAGGTGGTAAGTTACTAAATGCTGTAAAGAGTTTTTATGAGGATAGTGAGGCTCAGGTTAGGGTGTGTAGAAGAGAGGGAGACTATTTTCCGGTAAAAGTAGGTCTTAGACAAGGATGTGTAATGCCAACATGGTTGTTTAATATATTTATAGATGGGGTTGTAAAAGAAGTAAATACTAGGGTGTTCGGCAGAGGGGTGGGATTAAATTATGGGGAATTAAATACAAAATGGGAAGTGACAGTTACTTTTTGCTGATGATACTGTGCTTATGGGAGAGTCTAAAGAAAAATGGCAAAGGTTAGTGGACGAATTTGGGAGTGTGTGTAAAGGTAGAAAGTTGAAAGTGAACATAGAAAAGAGTAAGGTGATGAGAGTATCAAATGATTTAGATAAAGAAAAATTGGATATCAAATTGGGGAGGAGGAGTATGGAAGAAGGGAATGTTTTCAGATATTTAGGAATGGATTTATGAAGGATGAGGTTAATCATAGAATTGATGAAGGAAAAAAGGCAAGTGGTGCATTGAGGTATATGTGGAGGCAAAAAATGTTATCTATGGAGGCAAAGAAGGGAATGTATGAAAGTATAGTAGTACCAACACTCTTATATGGGTGTGAAGCTTGGGTTGTAAATGCTGCAGTGAGGAGGCAGTGGAGATGTCCTGTCTAAGGGCAATGTGTGGTGTAAATATTATGCAGAAAATTCAGAGTGTGGAAATTAGGAGAAGCTGTGGATTTAAATAAAAGAAATTAGTCAGAGGGTTTGAAGAGGGTTTGTTGAGGTGGGTTGGTAAATTTAGAGAGAATGGATCAAAGTAGAATAACATGGAGAGAGTATAAATCTGTAGGGGAAGGAAGGCGGGGTAGGGGTCGTCCTCGAAAATGTTGGAGGGAGGGGGTAAAGGTGTTGTGGGCGAGGGGTTTGGACTTCCAGCAAGCGTGCGTGAGCGTGTTTGATAGGGGGTGAATGGAGACAAATGGTATTTGGGACCTGACGAGCTGTTGGAGTGTTAGCAGGGTAATATTTAGTGAAGGGATTCAGAAGAAGAAAAGTGTCAAAGTGGGAAGTCTGAATGTGCGTGGATGTTGTGCAAAAGATAAGAAAGAGATGATTGTGGATGTTATAAAATGAGAAGAAACTGGATGTCCTGGTTTTAAGTAAAAACAAAGCTGAAGGGGGTGGGAGAGTTTCAATGGAGAGGAATAAATGGGATTAGGTCAGGGGTTTCAAACAGAGTTAGAGCTAAAGAAGGAGTAGCAATAATGTGAAGGATAAGCTATGGCAGGAAAAGAGGGACTATAAATGTATTAATTCAAGGATTATGTGGAGTAAAATAAAGATTGGATGTGAAAAGTGGGTTATAATAAGCGTGTATGCACCTGGAGAAGAGAAGAAGTGTAGAGGAGAGAGAGAGATTTGGGAAATGTTGAGTAAAATGCGTGGGGAGTTTTGAATTCAAGTGAGAGAGAAAATGGTGGTTGGGGATTTCAATGCAAAAAGTGGGTAAAAATGTTATAGAGGGAGTAGTAGGTAAATTTGGGGTTTGCCAGGGTAAATGTAAATGGGGAGCCTTTAATTGAGCTATGTGTAAAAGAGATTTGGTCATAAGTAATACATATTTTATGAAAAGAGGATAAATTAAATATACAAGTATGATGTAGCACGTAATGAAAGTAGTTTTATTAGATTATGTATTGGTGGATAAAAGGTTCATTGGTAGGCTCCAGGATGTACATGTTTATAGAAGGGCAACTGATATATCGGATCATTATTTAGTTGTAGCTACATTTTAGAGTAAGAGGTAGATGGGAAAAGGGGAAGGTGGCAACAACAAGTAAGAGGGAGGTGAAAGTGTATAAACTAAGGGAGGAGGAAGTTCGGGCGAGATATAAGCGACTATTGGCAAAAAGGTGGGCTAGTGCAAAGATGAGTAGTGGGGGGGGGGGGGGTTTAAGAGGGTTGGAATAGTTTTAAAAATGCGTATTAGAATGTGGGGCAGAAGTTTGTGGTTATAGGAGGGTGGGGCAGGAGGAATGAGGAGTGACTGGGGAATGAAAGAAGTAAAGGGTGTGATAAAAGAGAAAAAGGTAGCTTATGAGAGGTTTTTACAAAACAGAAGTGTTTATAAGAAGAGCATAGTATATGGAGAGTAAAAGAAAGGTGAAGAGAGTGCAAAAGGAGAGCGATGATAGAGTGGGGAGAGGCACTGTCAAGAAATTTTAAAGAAAATAAGAAAAAAATTTTGGAGTGAGTTAAACAAGTTAAGAAAGTCTAGGGAAAGTATGGATTTGTCAGTTAAAAACAGAATACGGGAGTTAGTAGATGGGGAGATGGAGGTATTAGGTAGATGGCGAGAATATTTTCAGGAACTTAAATGTTAAGGAAGAAAGAGAGGCGGTAATTTCATGCACTGGTCAGGGAGGTATACCATCTTTAGGAGTGAAGAAGAGCAGAATGTAAGTGTGGGGGAGGTACGTAGGCATTACGTAGAATGAAAGGGGGTAAAACAGCTGGAACTGATGGGATCATGACAGAAAAAGTTAAAAGCAGGGGGGGATATAGTGTTGGAGTGGTTGGTACTTTTGTTTAATAAATGTATGAAAGAGGGGAAGGTACCTAGAGATTGGCCGACAGCATGTATAGTCCCTTTATATAAAAGGAAAGGGACAAAAGAGATTGTAAAAATTAGAGAGGAATAAGTTACCGAGTATACCAGGAAAAGGTACGTAGGGTATAACTGAATGAATTAGAGGTAAGACAGAATGTAGGATTGCGGATGAGCAAGGAGGTTTCAGGTGGGTAGGGGATGTGTAGATCAAGTGTTTACATTGAAGCATATATGTGAACCCGTATTTAGATAAAGGTAGGGAAGTTTTTATTGCATTTATGGATTTAGAAAAGGCTTTTGATAGAGTGGATAGAGGAGCAATGTGGCAGATGTTGCAAGTATATGGAATAGGTGGTAAGTTACTAAATGCTGTAAAGAGTTTTTATGAGGATATTGAAAGGGTCAGGTTAGGGTGTTGTATAAGAGAGGGAGAATACTTCCCGGTAAAAGTAGGGTCTTAGACAGGGATGTTAATGTCACCATGGTTTTTAATATATTTATAGATGGTGTTGTAAAAGAAGTAAATGCTAGGGGGTTCGGGAGGGGTGGATTAAATTATGGGGAATTCAAATTAAAAATGGGAATTGGCACAGTTACTTTTTGCTGATGATACTGTGCTTATGGGAGATTCTAAAAAAAATTGCAAAAGGGTTTGTGAAAAGGTTTTGGGAAAGTGT